AGATTAAAATCTGATTTTAATCCAAGTCAAAATCAAACAATCACCATTAACCACATCTTTCACGGATTCCACAACTTTTCAACTATACATTTCAAAAACTTCTATTACAACTTACTAGTCGACATGACAACTTAATTCGTAAATTAATTTTATCTACATAATTAATCCTTCTAATATTACTTAGGATAAAGAAATTGACTCGCACTAAACCTACGAAAAAGAAAAAAGTTAGAGAGAGGGGGACAGATTAGCTGAATATTCAACCAGTCATCGAACAGTAATACACACAAAACGATCTCCCTCGACGACACAAATCCTCATCCCACTAATAACAATCAAATTCATACTATATTTTGGAAGGAATTATTCTAAATTTCCAATTTCATTGAATGATTTTCGTAGCATTAGCATGTTGAAGCTTTGGAAATGGTACCAAAAGTGCTTGGCTGTGCATCCTGTTAAAACCCAGGTCATTAGCTCAGGATTCATTTGGGGATTTGGTGATATTGCTGCCCAGGCTGTTACAAATTCAACCGTCAAGAGATATCACAATCAAACTCCTGTATGTATTTGTTTTCTTCTTCTTCATTTAAAAATTGAAATTATTTCATGGATTTGAATATTTTTAATGGGCTTCGTTTATATATCTTTTTGGGCATATGGACTGTGATTTTTTCCTTTAATTGTTGTTTCTGTATGTTGGGACATTTAATTAAATGAATATTTATAAATTTATTTGCATTTCGAGTTTTCTCGGTTTATTCAAGTATGAATTGGTACTGCATTGTATGTACATGTCATTATATATGAGAAATGATCTCCTAAGCACCGATAACATGTCATAGAATAACTTCATGGTAAGTCCCAAGAATTAAATGATTCACGATTTCATTGATGTGTCAAGTACTGGTGCTTAGTTGCTTATGAGATCATATCTCCATTATATAGTTTTAACTGCATATATGTATGTATAACTTATGGGTAGCCAAAAATTATGTGTATTATTGTGTGGATGGCATGGAAATGAAATGCCCAAGATATAGTCTTGTTTACGATATGTACAGATCACGAATACACTTTTTTTCTAGTCGGTTATTGCTTTTGGCAATTTATTGCTTTGCAATTTAAGTGGAGAGATTAATAGATGTTAAAACAAAGGTTTCAGCATAAGTGTCAACTATGATGGTTCAAAAGGAGTATTTGCACAAAATCAATAATGCTATGTTAGTCAAATTGTCTGGGAAAATCTGGTGAAGAGAGTGCTTATCCTTGCAATTTTCGTGGAGATATTAATAGATGTTAAAACAATGGTAATACTGTTCAGCATAAGTGTCAACTATGATGGTTCAAAGGGAGTATTTGCACAAAATCAATAATGTTATGTTAGTCAAATTGTCTGGGAAAATATGGTGAAAAGAGTTCTTATCCTTGCATTTTCCATTATATTTAAAGGGAAGGGGCAGTATCTCCACATATTGAATCCGTTGGACTGCTCCACAAATGAACCCTTCTTCATGGCTAATATCACAGTGATAGCTGTAATTTAGTGGGGGCTATAGATGGCAAGGAAAATCTACAGTGGAAACAATTCTTCTGCCAATTTGTTTATCTGTCCCTGATTTTAGAGGATACCATAAAACAAGATTGCCCATTTATTCCTGGACTATGAGAGCATTATCTGAGATTTGTATGAATGATTGCATTTCTGATTGAAAAAAAAAACATCTAAATTGTTGATTATATATTTTTTTTTCTATTTTTGCTAGTACTGTTGAATAACGAGCATATATTTCTGGATTGCTTGCAAATACTGTTGCTCTGCTGCTATTACCATGGTTATATAATCCACTAGCTCATTTTGTAACAACATTTACATGTGAGAGGAAAGTTTTCTTCTTCAACAAGCGTTGCAAGATTCAAGTCATACTCCGTGGTCCAGTGGTTATGAATTCCTGCCTTTATTCAATAATCATGATCCTACAGGGGAAAAAAAAATGGATTCTTGATAATTTCTGCTTCAACAAATAGAAAAAGGAGAAAGGGAGAACTTCAGTAGTTACTACCCCAATTTAGATTTCGGCTAGTTAATATGGCACTTTGCCTTTGTCAGATGAAGTGCTGCTGTTGCACATCCCTCTCGTTTCCTAGCCCAGCAGATAATTGTAACAACTTTTCACCTCCATTACCTTGTCCTTTTCATTCTCGTCAGACAATCTGCTTTGTCCATCCTGTTGTCTTGAAATGAACACCACAAGGTTACTGCAATTTATAAATGTTGAAAGCAAAATTAAAGTAATATGACACGAATCCATCTCAGTTTTACAGAACTCCATACTTGCCATTCCACAGAGGGTAATACTTCACAAGCTATTCCACGCCTATAATATTTATATGTTATTCTGCAGTTTAAATTAAAATTTTATTCTGCTGTAAATCCTGGACTCGTCAATAAGTTCTATATTGATGAGAATCTCGTCAACTTTGTTTAGAGGACATTTTATATAAAGAGGCACTATATTCATGCAACATGACTGAGTTGACATATTTAAGATAATTTTTAGCGGGAGACTAATTTCATTTTGACAAAAAAAGTGTACTAATCTAAATAATTTCTCTAAAATATTTTAGCTTTTATCTATAACTTCATAAAATGATACAAATAAACAACGACATTCGACCCATTATGGCTATGTAATAAAGTATTTCTTGTTCCCCTCTTATAATTTCCCTTCCCTCATGTTATCTTTGTTCGTTAGAAAAAATGAAGCCACGAGCCTTTCCTAATGAATTTTATTGCGATGAACAAACTTTATATCCAATCAAAATTCTTCTATTGGTGTGCCATTCTTTGCATTGCTGTCTTCTGTTAACGTGAAGATCTAATCAGGCTTGGTAGCAGGGCTATGGAAGCCTTTGAACAAGGAGATAGAGACTGGAATGGTATCTTCTAAGCCCTTGTTTGGGCTCCATTTTAATGTGATTTGGGAGGCAATGTGTTTTGAAATAGTGATTTTTTGGAGAATGTGTGGTTAAAAGATAATTTTTTTTTTGATTTTACGTGTAATATTATTTATGGAAGAATGTGTTATTGAAAATGAGTTTTGAAAAAATGGAGCCCAAATAGGGGTTACGTAAGATACTAGATGGCTGCGTCTGGCTGTCTATAGACAGGAGTATCTATAGCATGGGGGAAGCTGACAATTATCTTTTAAAGGAGTCTGGTAGGACTTGTGGACATTAAGGAATTATGGATGCATAATATCGTGATTCGACATTGTCGGAACAATGAAAATGTGAACATCACTGCTTAGTATAGGCAGTAGATTACCATAATTGCAGTTTCCTCTCCTTTTTTGTTGCTTTCTTTCTTTCCTTTTTCCTCTTCTGGTTCTATCTGTTTGAGGGGAATGGCTGATGGCTGATTGGGCACTTTAAAGTTCTGGAAAGTATCTTGAGCCCCTGTTTGGTGGGGATTAAAATTAGATTTTTAGTAGATTTTGATAGAAGTTGATAACATGAGTGGTTGAAAATGTGTAGGCCTCATAAAATATGTGGTTAAAATTAATTATTGACTTTGAAGTCAAAATCAACAATTTTTAATCTGTAACAAATAGGGGCTGAATATATCTCCTTGAAGCGATACAAGGTCACAGGTTGAGTGCCTGAGATTGCAGGTGTTCTCCAGCTAAGCATTTGGATTTTCAAATATGTTAATGATAGGTAGTGTCGGAGCGCTTCCTTTTTCATCTAACTGATTCTAACGATGAAGCCGGTCTCTTAAGTTCTACTGCTCCTTTGCAAGCCACTACCAACTTCTGATGATAACTGAGAACAGCGCCTGACGAGATAGTGTACTTATGCAGTATGTTAATGGGTGTGATCTTTTGTTAGAAAAAAAAATGTACTAAATTGTTTTTGCAGTTCTAGAAATAGCTCGTATCACCAGTTTGAAGATGTCATTGTGCTTTTACACTTTGGAGATCACAATTACTGACATGCTACTGATTGACAGCATTGCATCTCAATCCTTTTCTTTGTTATATATATCTCCTCCCACCAAAAAATTAAAAAATAAAAAATAAAGTGGCTGGAGCTTTGGCAATCTGGCTTTATGTTATGCTGACATGTTGTGGACTGTTATCTTACTGAACACTTACTTGACCCAACAATCATCTCCCTCATTTCTCTGCAGGATGATGATAAAGAATTCAAGATTAATTGGAGACGAGTTGCTACCACAAGCTTGTTTGGATTTGGATTTGTTGGACCTGTTGGCCACTTCTGGTTAGTATTCTTTGTCAATTGATTGTCAACATACTGTTTCAATTATAAGAAATTTGTTTTCTAAATTGGTAAATATTGAAAGTATTTTTTAGTATAAATGGATGCCTCTTTGGTAAATTTAACTTCTGGCTATTCAGGTACGAAGGACTGGATCGGTTCATTAGGCTGCGGCTACAGCTACGACCAAATTCATTTCGGTTTGTAACTACAAAAGTAGTAGTTGATGGTATGCTCTTTGGGCCATTGGATTTACTGGTATTCTTCACTTACATGGGGTTTTCAACGGGGAAAAGTGCTGCTCAGGTTAAGGACGGCGTGAAGAGAGATTTTCTCCCAGCCTTAGTTTTGGAAGGAGGCGTATGGCCAATTGTTCAAGTGGTCAACTTTCGATATGTTCCCGTGAGGTATCAACTTCTTTACGTCAACTTCTTCTGTTTGTTGGATAGCTGTTTCCTTTCGTGGATCGAGCAACAAGAAGATGCTCCTTGGAAGCAATGGTTCAAATCTTTTTCACCTTTGAAGGAACAAGAAGGACAAGGGGGATGATCTCTTCTCCCGATCGTTTCCTTTTCAAATTCAGTTAAGAGTGATCTTCATGGTAAATCCATCTCAGAGAAACATTAATCAGTAAATGAAATCTCTTGAGCGCATGTCTGGTGCAGAATTAAAAAGAAAAAAAAAATGAAGTTGAAATCTTGTCTATTATACTGTGCGTACTAAGCATGCATTGAGTGCCTCTTTTGAAGTTGGCAATTTCTCAAGGGAAGATTACATTGGCTTTTATGTACCATTTTCGTAATAAGAATCTATGCGTTCTTGTTCAGTACTATTATGTGCAAGTAGTATGTAAGCTCAAGAACCCTAAAAAGAGAAAAATGTGTCAAAATGACACAATATACATTGTCAAGACAGGAGATGTAAATCTTTGAAAAATTAGTAGTGTTGTCACTCAATGAGGATCTTGCAGCGTGTACTTGTTGATGCAGCACCAATTGAAACAACTAATGGAGAATGAGAAACAAGTCTACATAGAAGAAGAAATCAGAGGCAGAAATAGCAGCAGAACAAAACAGTATAAGAAGGAGAAGAATAATAGGGAAATGGAGGAAAATTTGGCAAAAACCTCAATTCATTTTAGTCATTCAAGTCTTTGGTTTCCAATCCAATCCAAAACATATAAATAACTAAATAAGCAAACCTAAAATAGAAGGGCTTGGGCAAATCCATATTACAAGCCTAATAATAGAAAATATAAATAAGAGTCCACAATAGAAAAATAAATCTCAATGGATGTCTGCATCAATTCTCCCGAGATAGGAGAAAAAACTCGGCTCTGCCGAGTGGATAAATCACAAGAGGCTACACTCAACCTCCCAACCATAAACTAAGTGGTTGAACAAACTTTTTCTTATGCCCATAAAAGCATGTCTGGGAAGGTCTGAATCTGGTGTCCCCATCAACTCTTCGTGAATGGGTGGAATGAAATTTGGCCAAAGGAAGATTCTGCTAACTCTGATACAGCTCCAATAAATTTGGGTTGAGCTGCTAGAGTGTCTCTCTCGGAATCCATGTACACTCAGAATCAAGTCGATCAATCCAACGAACAAGGAAGCGTTGAACCTCTCCACGTTGAACCTCTCCATCATTAGTCAACATAATCTGTTCATCTAAAATAGCATCAATATTATTTTTGTGTGTTGTGAGATATGGTATTGGGTTAGAAGTGGCAAGAGATTCAAGGTAAAGGTCCACAGATGGAGGTAGAAGAGAATCATCGGAGGGATTGAAATGACTTTTATAAGCAACTAAATCATAAACATTGAAAGTAGAGTGATATCCAAGATATGGTGGAAGATCAATAACATATGTATTTGGGCCAACTTGCTTTAAAATTTTAAAACGGCCAACGCTATGGGCTTGCAATTTGGAGGCGGATCCAGGTAGACGCCACCTCGGTCTAATTCGGACCATAACGTAATCCCAAATATAAAACTCAACATGTCGTTTATGCAAATCAGCTCGAAATTTATATGATGCATTACTGACTTCAAGTTGTTTATTGATCTCAATATGCAAGTCATAAAAATGTGCAAATGCCTAAACTGACATAGACACTCTAGCATGTGGGGGACATATGAACGAAATCTAAAGGCTTCCTAGGCAATAACCACGAACAATTTCAAAGGGACTCATACCTAAAGATCGATCCATAGAATTGTTATATACAATTTGAGTTGTAGGAAAAATCAAATCCCATTTTCTAAAATTTTCTTAGACTAGACATCTTTATAAATTACCAAGATTATGGTTAACTACTTCCGTTTGACCGTCAGTCTGACAGTGGTATGCCGTAGAAAATTTCAATTAGTACCAACATTTTGCCACAAGGTTCCCCAAAATTGACTAGTGAAAAGAACATCCATATGTGACACAATGGTCTTAGTAAGACCATACAATTTTAAAATTTCATTAAAGTACAACGTGACAACCTTAGACGCATCTGAGCTCTTGCTACAAAGGATAAATAAGCCATTTTCAAGAAACGATCGACTATCACAAAAATAAAATCATGTTTCTTTGGGGTGCGTGGAAGTCCTAACACAAAATTCATATTGACTTCTTGCAAAGGGCAATTAGGGACATGAAGAGGTGTGTATAGACCAGTATTTTGCCTCTTATGTTTGACCAACTGATATGTGTTAATGTACTAACTATTTTAGCTACATCTTATTTCAAACTAGGCCAATAGAATTGACATTCAATCTCCTCTATAGTGATGACAAAAAAATCCGCCCCGCCCAGCCCCGGCTCTGCCCCGTCCCAACAGGTTGGTGGGGCGGGGAGGAAGCGCCTAGAAACTGTCCCGTGAAGAATAAAAAAAATAATTAACTACAAATTAAAAACAAAAAATAGTTAATTGGAAGTTTTTGAAAAAAAAAAACATAAACGAGGTAGGAAATGGGGCAAGCCCGCACCCCGAACCTGCCTCGTCTAAGGTGGGACGGGGCGGGGCGGGGGGGCCCCGCCTAGAACCCGCCCCGTTGCCATCTCTACTCCTCTATGGTCAGAATTGACGCCCAAACTGACTGGCTTAGCCTTCTACTTGAATTTTGCATACTATGAAGTCCTGCACTGAAGTTCGAGGGATATACAATTTATTGGATCGAAAAATGTAACCCTCCTCAAGGCAAAAAGCATCAGCAGTATCCAACTGTCTACCTTGCAAAGCAAGAAAGATATCCTTAAAATCGGAACAAGTTTCGTACTTTTCCTTAAGTCTTTCAAAACCTACGTTTATGACCGACAAAAGGGAGATACGACGACTTAACGCATTAGCCACTTGGTTCTCAACACCCTTCTTATGTTTCAAAACAAAATAATAGGCATGCAAATATTCAATCTTGCAACTATGCCTGAATTCAACCTTTTTGGAAGTTAAGATGACGGAGGGCCTCATGATTCGAATAAAGAACAAACTCACGGGGTAGCAAATAATTGCACCAATAGCACAAAGCCTGTACAACTGCATACAATTTCTTATCATAACTCGAGTGCCGTTGTTTGACATCATTTAACTTCTCACTAAATAAGTACATGGTGGCGTTCTTGACTAAGGACTCCACCCATTTTTACCCCAAAGGTATTACACTCGACTTAAAAAAACTTTGGAGAAGACGGGAAGGCCCATGATAGGAGCTTCCGTCATTCGCTTATTGACTAACTTAAAAGCTTTAGTCGCTTCTTATGCCCCATGCAGGGGCGGACCCAGCACCTGGCCAGCCCCCGCGGCCGCTCGTGCTGGGTCCGCCGGGACCTTGAAGACTGCCGGGAAGAATTGCAAAGCCGGCGGAAGGAGAAGATGAAGATTAGGCGAAATTTTTTTTTTTTTTCCTTTTTTTGAGTTTGGGCCTATTATTTTTCAACAATAAGGCCCAATGGCTTGCAACCAGTGAACCAACCCATTTCTACAATGTTCAAAATCCAATTGATGAAAATCCCAAATTCTCAAATCTCAATTGATTCAATCTTCAAAAGCCCTACCCAAACCAATTAACCAAGCTTACCCAAACCAAAAGAGAGGAAGCACCACTTGATTCAATCTTCCAAACCCAATTGAACTAGCCTACACAAACCAAAAGAGAGAAGAAGCACGCTGCAGATTTGAAGCTTACCTGTGGCTGCAGCCGCTGCAAGTTCCAGCTCCAGCCTCCAGGTTCCAGCCCAGCCTCCAGCAGACCACCGGTGCACGGGCAGCAGCTTCGAAGTCCAGTCCCTGCTCGCGAGTCGCCAGTCTCCAGTTGAGTCGCCGTCTCTCGCCTCTAGCGCCTCGCGGTCTCGCCAGTCGCCTCTAGGCTCTGGCCCTCTATTGTCGGTCAGATAAATTAGAAGTGTCAAGGTCTTGGATTGGACTCAAGTGAGTAGTTTATGTTTTTATTTTGTGGGGTTAATTACTTAATTGGTTGTTAATTTCTTAATTTGTTTGTTATTTATGTTTTTGTTATTTATGGTTAATTGGTTGTTAATTGTTAATTTGTTTGTTAATTTGGTTGTTAATTTTTTTGTTATATCATAATATGAAATTATGACCAAGTAGTTTTAAATTGGGGATTTTGGTAATTTAGGTAATTTTGGGGATTTTGGTAATTTAGGTTTTTAGAAAATTAGGGAAAAGTGAAAAGAATTAATGAAGAAAATGTTGGGCTCAATTAAATTATGTGTAGACTATTTTTTAATCAATTTTAATTGAAAAATAAATTGGGGCATTTTGCAGATTATGGAGCGATTTTTTCAACCGAAACGAAAGTCCATACCTGGATCTTCTTTATCTAGTTGTGCATCTAGTCCCGCAACTGATTCTAGTCGAGCACAAGAGTTATTAAATAATACAAAGAAGTCCCGATCTCAATTCAATGGGGATGATCTTATATCTGATCCAGGGAAACGCCCCCCCATCGACTCATACGATCCCAATATCAGAGATGATGTTAGGATGGCATACTTGGAGAAAGGTCCTTGTCAACCATATGGACATAACTTTCCAAGAAGAAAGATAGGGAATGATAATAGGTGTTTTCGGAAAGAGTGGTTCTCTGAATTTCATTGGTTGGAGTACAGTATAGAAAATGATGCGGCGTATTGTTTGCATTGCTACTTGTTCAAACCCGATAGAGGGGGTCAAGGGGGTGGACATATATTCACTAAAACCGGCTTTAGGGATTGGAAGCACAAACAGAGGTTGAAAGATCATGTCGGTCTCTTTGATAGTGCTCATAATCAAGCTTTTGCAAAGTGTACCAATTTGATGAATCAAAAGCAGAGTATCTCTTATGTTATTTCAAGTCAAAGTAATAGTCAACAAAAAAGTTATAGGACGAGATTGACTGCGGTGCTAGATTGTACTAGATTCCTTTTGATGCAAGGATTGCCATTTCGTGGTCACGATGAATCCAAAGAGTCTCTTAATAGAGGAAATCTAATTGAGCTACTAGACTGGTATGCAGCTCGTTGTGAGGAAGTTAAAGAGGTATTATTCACTAATGCTCCTGGAAATGACCAAATGACTTCACCAAAGATCCAGAAGGACTTGGTTAATTGTTGTGCCGTAGAGACAACAAGGGCTATTATCAATGAGATGGGTGATTGTTTATTTTCAATTTTGGTTGACGAGGCTCGTGATAATTCTATAAAAGAACAAATGGCAGTTATTTTGAGGTTTGTTGACCAAAGTGGGGTCGTGAAGGAGCGTTTTTTGGGCATTACCCATGTCGCTGATACTTGTGCCAAATCACTTAAGGATGCCATTGATGCAATGTTTTCTACTCATGGGTTGAGCATATCTAGTCTGAGAGGTCAAGGTTATGATGGAGCAAGCAATATGTCAGGTGAGTTCAATGGTTTGAAAGCTTTAATTTTAAGAGAGAACCCACATGCTATGTATGTCCACTGCTTTGCTCACCAACTTCAGTTGGCAGTTGTTTCAATGGCACGTAGGAATAACATGCTTGGTGATTTTTTTAATATGCTTGCTATTATTGTGAATTTGGTGGGTGCATCATGTAAGCGTGTAGATGCTCTTCGAACAAGTTACCATGCCGAGATTTTGGAGAAGCTTAATATTGGGGAACTTTGTGGTGGGAGTGGTAAGTTTCAAGAAATGAGTTTGGCACGCCCAGGTGATACTAGATGGGGCTCACACCTACTGACAATTACTCGTGTTATTAATATGTTTAATGCTATCATAGATGTTCTTGAGGATATATCAGAAGATGGCGTAAATTTAGAGCAGAAATCAATGGCCGACAGACAGATGGACACTATGCAGAGCTTTGAGTTTGTGTTCAGTCTCCACTTCATGTTTGAAATTCTAGCAATTACAAACAACTTTTCACAAGCCTTACAGAAGAAGGATCAGGATATTCAGAATGCTGTGGGTTTATTAAATTTGTGTAAGTATGCATTGCAGAACATGAGAGACAATGGCTGGGATAATTTGTTGAGTAGGGTGACTGAGTTTTGTGTTGTTAGACATATTTTTGTGCCCAATATGGAGGATATTGTAGTATTGAGAGGTCGGCCTAGGCGTGGAACTCAGCAGGTGACTTATTATCATCGTTTTTATGTTGATTTGTATTGTTACGTGATAGACTCAATCTTGCAAGAGTTGAATGATCGTTTTTCCGAGACAACTACTGAGCTCCTAACTTGCATTTCGTGTTTAAATCCAAGAGATTCCTTTGCAGCTTTTGATACGGATAAATTGCTAAGGATTGCTCAGTTGTATCCTTTGGACTTCAATAATGAAGAGCTTTTATTGCTTCGACCTGAACTTGAGAAGTTCCTTCTATATGTGAGAATTACTGAAGCCTTCTTTAATCTCAATAGCATTTCTTGTGTGGCTCGGAAGTTGGTTGAAACAGGAAGCTCTTGTTATTTTCCATTGGTTTATAGGCTGATTACATTGGTTTTGATATTACCTGTGGCAACTGCAAGTGTTGAAAGAGTATTCTCTGCTATGAATCTAATCAAGAGTGACTTGCGCAACAAAATGGGAGACGACTGGTTGAATGACAATTTGGTGGTATACATGGAGAAAGAGATTTTTGAAAAAATTGAGAATGAAGCAATATTGCAACGTTTTCAAAGCATGAGATCTCGTAGAATACAGTTGTCTAAGATTACAGTTACATAATAGGTTGTGTTGCGTATTTCTTTAATACTTTTGGTTGTATTGAACTACGTTTTCATATGTACATATTTTTTTATGTTTTAGTGCGTTTATATATATATTGAATGATTTTTAATATTATATAATTAAATATTAATAAACGATATCGCTCTTACGATCGCTGATGGTTGACGTTGACTAGTCAACGTCCGCCCGGGCTGAGTTCAAAACCTGGGTCCGCCACTGGCCCCATGAAACTCTCCTCTCTTCATGCATTCCATAACATGAGCCATAATTGTGCTAAACCCCTTGATGGAGCGACGGTAAAAGGTAGTTAGGCCATGAAAACTCCTGACGTCATGTAGTCTTAGGTTTAGGCCAACCAACAATTGGCTGAATCTTGGCAAGATCAGTAGATACCCATGTAAAGTATACAATGAATCCTAGGAAAACAGTTTTATCGGATAAGAGAGAACATTACTTGACATTAGCGTACATATTTGTTGCACGAAGGGTAGAACAAACTTGTGTGAGATGATCTTGGTGTTGTTCCTTAGTTTTACTATAGACGAGAATATCATCAAAGTAGACGACGATGAACTTACCCATGAAAAGTAGAAGAGTTTGTGTTATTACTTACATAAAAGTACTCGAGGCGTTGGTTAGTCCAAAAGGCATGACCAGCCACTCATAAAGACCATCTTTCGTTTTAAAAATGGTTTTTAACTCATCACCTGGATGGATCATAATCTGGTGAATTACCCCACTCTTCAAATCAATCTTAGAAAATATTGTAGCAACAACCATCATATCCAACATATCGTTAGCCTAGAGATGGGAAAGCGATACTTCACTTTGATCCTATTTATGGCACGACTATCTATGCATATCCTCCAAGTGCCATCTTTCTTAGGAGTCAAAGGGTGAGAACTGCACAAGAACTTAAACTCTCACGGATGAATCCTTTGTGAAGGAGTTCATCTACTTGCCCCTAAAGTTTAGCATGCTCAGCAGTATTCAACCTATAATAAGGTAAATTTGGAAGAGACACTTTCGAAATAAAATCTATGGCATGTTGAATGTCCCGTAAAGGAGGCAACTGGTCAGGTAGGTCCTCAGGGAAGACATCTGGAAACTTCTGAAGGAATAACTGGGCTTCCGCAGGGGCTACTATTGGGGAGTTCAATGGAACCTCTATAACAACCACGACAAACACAACATAATCGCCAACAATTGCGTGCTCAAACTTCATAGGGTTAATGATATGTGACCCTTTTGTTTGCACACTTTTCTTTGCTTTCTGCGAGCCAACATGTTTTAAGGGTAGTGTGTTAAGGTGAATCTTCTTTCCATTAAATACGTAGAAACAAGAATTAGATCGACCATAGATGGTTACATCTAAATTGAACAATCAAGGTCGACTAAGAATAATGTGGCCGACATCCATTAAAATGACGTCGTACCATATATATCCTTATACTCGAGGAACTGGATAGGTACCAAACAACGCTCTTTTACAAATATAGAAGAAGTATCAACCCTAGGGACGCTATACGGTTGAGGGTGAGGCACTGGTTTCAATCCATTGAAACCTCATTAATGCAACTACCACTATCCACAATGACTTTACAATCCTTATTATTGATCTTAATACAAGTATGGAAAATGGCATGACGATGCCAATCATCGGCAACTTTGGTTTGGGTAATGATATTGATCTTAATGCGAGTATGGAAAATGGCATAACGAACCCCGAAGGACAAGCTCACTCTTAAGACCACCACTTTGGCCTTGCCTAAACGCATTCAAAATCATAACCCCATCCTCAACAACATGACATCTCGTTTGGAATTTATCAAACTGAGTGATGTACTTAGTCACCGATCGATTGCCCTGCTTAAGAGCATTCCATTGATTCAACAAATTACCCTTATGAGATTGAGGTAAGTATTTCTCTTAAAGGCGACGCTTCATTTTATTATAACTCTCAACAGGAGGAGCACGACGTCTCTCAAGAAGATCTTCAACACTTTCCCAAAAGAGTTAAACAATGTCAGTTAATTTTAGAGTGACAAATTGAACTCTCTAGTCCTGTGAGATCCATACTAGGTAAATAAACAATCCATATCTAGGGATGGCAACGGGGCGGGGACGGGGGGCTCTCCTCGCCCCCCGTCCCGCTAAGAA